AGGAAACATAGTTGGTCAGTCTGCATTTTCCGATCAAGCAGAGTGGTTGGAAGGGTGGGGGCAAAAGAAAAGGTATTCTCTCACCCTCGGTTTCAAGTCTTTTCCAGATGGGATGCTACGGAATCGGCATGACTCGATTACTAGCAGCCGCTGTAGAATATCTATCAGCAGCTGCGTTCCCCAACATTCCTGCCGAGCAGGTTACAGAATTGCGTTGGCCTTCCGGTCTGGCTCCATTCAGTGCTGCTCTTGTCCTTCAGAAGGTGAGTCTCTCTCTCTCTCTCTCTCTCTCTATATATATATATATATATATATATATATATATAATATCATTAGTCCTACAAAACACTTTGAGAACAACAACAGCGTGGCGAACACGCTCGTGTTCAGTTATTCGTAATCATGCCCTTACATAACATTAAATATGACTAACAATAAGAACGAAACAGGGAATGAGAGATTCGAGTCCTAATGGTTCAGCTCTGGCTCCAATCATGCGTGCATGTGTGCTTTTGTGAAATTGATCACACTGTCAAAAGTTCAACTGATTGCACGCGTGTTGGAGTGGATGAAGTAGGTCAGGGAAGATTAAGTGTTTGCAATAATTTCTTGTGGGCGGGGGGAGAGGGACGGTTGTGAATCCGAATACTCACGGCTTCGGCTGTAATGGCTGTAATGGCATGAACACGAATATACCTATTAAGAATACATCTTTACTTTCAAGGGAACACCCATGTGGTCTGAGTTTTCCTTTTGTGTACCGTAGGTGGTGCATAGACAATCAACCAGTCATCGTGGTTATCGTAGACCGACACTATACAGTACGGTACAGTAAATGAGTATGGCTGTTACAAGAACGAAGCGTAGCCAGCCAAAACCTAAAATATCACTGGGCAGTGGCAGATTTGGTTAACGGAGAGAGAATGAGTATCTTCAGCCTTGGATCACATCCCTCGATTATAAATCCATTAGTAGAGATACGGAGCCTCACCGAAATTTTCATCAAAATCAAACTCATAAGCCAAAGATATGAAGTAATTTGCACAATGATTAGGTAGAGTTTATGTCTCTCTTCTTCTGGATTAGGGTCAAAAAAGACTCCGTAACTGGGTGGTTGGAAACTCTGAAAGTCATGGTAACAAATCGACAGCAGTTAGGTTCTTGTCACTTCCTATGATACCAGAATGCTTGAAAAGTTCTATGTACACAGTGTTTTCTGTGGTTACCCATAGGGCTTCGCTTTCTTTCTCCGTCCGCTGAAATAGGCCCACTTTCTACCCACCCCACATTCTCACTTACCATGTACGCATTATGAGTGTGGTAGCGATCAGTGAAGTTGGTTTCACTATATTCCGCTGTACGATGATGATGATATCAAGTTATTGTCATTACAGACCACAAATGATGGGCTTCATGTTTGATGCAACATTTAAGAATGTTAAAGTTCAACGTCCGATGATTGATGTATCCTGTTACAGGTTTAATGCCATTTCAAGGCACAGTTCAACTGGCCCCCATCGACACCTCATCTTTCACTCTCCGCCTCCACTGGACAAATACAAACTTCAAACTTAATGTCATTTATCGTCCCGACTAACAGAATGCCTCAGCCGATAGGCTTTCCTCTCTATGCTTGCCCTTCATCGTGCATCGTTGAATAAATGCACTGCTGAATTTCAGGAATCTGCTCGAGACGCGTTGNCGTAAGGTCGTGGATATGAAACGCTTGGGCATTCCTTGGATTGGCGTAATCAAGGTGAGCGGTGTCATCTTATCTGATTGAGCATTGCAAGTGTGTTTCAATGAGCTGTTGACAAAAAATTGTAAACATAGGCTAATCCGACTTAGTTTGCTTCGAGTTTCACGCTTTATATCACCACGATTCATTTGTTTCATATCCACACGTTCACCCTCCGAGACCGTACTAAACCTTTTTCTCTCATCTCTTGGTTGCTGTGTCTCATTCGTGCGACCAATTTGGGTCACGTGTAGTTGTTCAGCGTCCCCCCCTCCAGAATATCACGATGAGTAGGCAAACTATGCACTGCCTTGTGCTCGTTCGATAAAATGCTGAGGTACTGGGTTTTAGGCGCACCCTAAATGTAGTTGTCCGGCTAACTTCAAATCGATGCGACCGGGTGGTGCCTTTGTCCAAAGTTCCTATCGGGTTATTGCTCATTGCTCCGCTGTATACAAGCGGGAATTATTAGACATAGGGAAGGCGTCGGCAGATTCCTCATCCTCACTACAGCACTATGAACACAAGAGAAAGGGGTTATATATATATATATATGTGTGTGTGTGTGTGTGTGTGTGTATTCACTCTTCCACCAGTCATGTCAGATTGGGTTTTTCGATTTAACGACTCAGTTGCACATACTTTGTTACCATAATACCTCAGGTATCACGCTTAACTTATTGGGGCCCCGTGTTTTTCGTCCCTCCAAGTCCCAGGGTTTCGGTCGCTAGCTATCGCGAATAGATGGAATATCATCTCTACCGTGCAGATTTTCCATTCTGTGTTTTATCTTTCAGTAGGGTTTTCCATAAAAAGTGGAGCTAACATCGTTGTCTATACCATTTAATGTGTAATTATCATTGAGTGCAACATCTCCCATCGGTAGTTCGATCCGTTCAAAAGCGGAGGAAAAGAATTTCCTGCGATGAAAATAAGTTTAGTTTCAGTTGATTATTGTTGCCGTATTTTCGACAATCCATCAAATTGTTCGGTTGCACAATTACGAATCTAAAGGTGCTTTACAGTAATGAGGGTATCTTTTCACATTAGACTGGATCACATTTAAGTTTTTGCATTCGATTTCGAGATATATTACTGAAACAGATCATGTGGAAAATTGGGAAGGATGGTCGGTCTTTTTCGCCAGATTCTTGTCCATCATCTTAGTTCATCGTTCTCTTTGTTGGATCACAAAGTGTAATAAGGTGAACTTTGCTGGTCCCTACGTGCTTAAGGAAGTATTCCGTAAGTTTGAATATACAGGTTTCTCGCATGAACCTTACTCCTCTCTAAATTGCTCACATTTCACCTGTGGAAGTGGTGTTAAATCCTGAAGCTAATGTAGTTTAACACCTAATGGGCACATTCAAATATAATGGGTTCCTCTGCGGTAATACTAGAACAGCCGGGATGCCCGAGTTTGTTAGAATACCTAAACAGTAGCGCTTTCCAGCAACAACATTTTTCAATACAATCCGTTGTTTCAAGGAGATCTCCACTCATTATTTCTTAACAAACAAAACAACCGCGCATCAGACCTTGGAAGCTGCTTGTGTCGGAAACAAACCCATAATAGTGTAGTGTGAGTATACGGTTTACTCCTACTATTCTTTTTCATCACAATCAACCATAGAGAGGGTGATCCTAATAACCACGGAAACCTGTGCAGTGCTAANGTGCTAAAGTCTCTAAGCCGTTTCACCTTGATTAGCAACCTACGCAAAAATCCCAAAACGATATACCTGGCGTTGAGCTATGCTGTCTTCTACTAAAGATGAGTTTCTAAGCAAGGATTTTAATCTCAAATCTTGATAACCGTAGCGTGTTATTGAAAGTGACTTGAGCTACTAAACTATAAGAAGAATAATAGTTTATATTATGTCTTTGAATCTAACAACTTAAAGATGATAAGTAGACAGCCTGTACTCTTTAATCCCTGTCATCACCCATTACACCTTGATGCAGTATCTGTGATAAATGCGGCATCTTCTATTACCATTTCTGTTTAGATTAGGTTTTACCTTGGGAGGGGTTGTATTTTGAATGCTATCCCATAAAACGTGATTTGTGATTTTTTTGGTTGGGTCAAACGATCAATTTTCATTGAATTTGAAAACGGTTTTTGCACCGCTCGATTCTTCTGATATGCTACACAAACTGAGATGATTTTTTTGAACCTAAAATGTAGTTATGATTGAAATACTCGATGATATGTTCTTTTCCCATCCACTTATCGCTACTGCGCGCCAATCACAGGCTCAGCGTGCCGCTCAGCCGGTGTATGAGCTGGTCGATGTGTACGGAGGAGTCTCATACGAGGTCACACTGAGTCAAATGCGTGAAGCATTTCAAATGCGTTCCTTTGAAACAAGTGATCTACCTCAATGGAATCAGAACAACCGGACCAGACCAAAAACTCAATAGCTTCACATGACTAGAACGCTTCTTTTTCCTCCCATTCGGTGTGAAAATTGACTGTTATTGTCCTTTTCACGTGAAGAAGAGAAAAACCTAGTGTTTTGCGTCCCTTTCGGATCACATTTGGTTTCTGGGTGGTAGGTTTCGTTCAGACCGTGGAGAGGGTACTTATGCGATCTGACTCATTTGTTTATCTTTCGGGTGCTAGCCACCTACGTGATCACATCCGCTAAAGCGGTACCCGGTAATTTATCCTTTGCGCAATCTGCACAAAGTAATTATTTGAAATGTGTCGGTGTTGATGAATTCTCCGAGCTGAAAGATTTGTTCGCAGACGTTTCGTATCCAAGCTAGGCAACATCATCAGTGCAACTTCGGGGAAGCGCCAGCCCTCAGTGTGATCTGGCTCATATAGTTCTATTTGAAGGTCTCGATTGGCTGTTTGCGTCCCTTTAATCCTACTGATCAATATAAACCGCTTGCTGAGATTTGATTGGCTGTTCCGTTTTTTGAGGTGTTTCGGCGTAACGGATACCCACGGAATCTCGTGCTACGCTGCTTACATACGAAACTCGAAAGAGGACAACAGTTGAAGCTCCAGGAGAAGCCTCAAATGCACAGTCAGAAGAACGATCGGCGATTAAACGAACAACACTGCCATATATACAATAAATCTCGAAAATGGCAGCCAGACTATTACAACCATCATGAGTTTTGTTTGTGCACAAAGTTATGCACGCAGTTTCAACTAAACAGTACCATAGGTTGTTGGTATCGATTGGTGATTATGGGGGGATTGTGGTCCGTTTTGGTGATGTAGATGGCCGGGTCACAATCTTTCCACCCGGATTCGTGACCCAATCTGGGAGCAATTAATAGACATGCTCAGTGTTGTGTTTATTGTGGACGGTGTCCGAACCGAGTCAGATTTCCCAGAAAAATAAAATGGCACGTCGATGTCTTAGACAAGCTCAATACTGAGCACATTAAGGATCAAAAAAGTTTTCTATACTATCGATCTAAGTGGAAGTTGTTGATATCTCTTCGTTCAACAATTAACGTTACCTTGGTTACTAACTAGACGCGCTAAAATCGGCTCCGGCCGTTAGGATACGAAATCATGAGAAAGCTGTCCACATAATTGAATACAAGTCTTTCATCAGGATCAACGAGACTGGCAGTATAAAAATGGAGCACAGAACGATTCAGATTAGATCGAACATACTCAACCATTGCTGCGTTTGATTGGTCAGGTAGAAATGGTTATTGATGCAAACTGAAGTCTTTCGGTTCTTTACGTTCGCAGTAAATAGTGAGTTCATACTCATACTTGTAAGGTCTTAGTGTTTCTACTGAGCAGAGCATCATTATCTGTTCTACGAGTGTAAATCTTTTCGCTGTTGTCGTTTTAATGATTCACAAATGTTACACCTACTCTATGGTTTTCAATGATGAGTTAATCATCGATGCTGCGTGACGAATATGTTCATGAAAAATTAAACTCACTGTCAGGTTTGCAGACAGGGTCATCGAACTCCATTCGCTTGAGGTACATGTTATGTGTTGTCGCGTGGCAAAGGCCATCGACCGATTGGAGATCTCATATCATACACTGCGTCACCCTCAAAATCGACTGCAGTTATTGTTCATCCGTTTTCACAGGCACATCAGAGCTGATCAGTCAGTTTGATTTCCATGCACTGAGCGTAACCTTCGTGGTTTTGGTAATCAGCGCATCCAGAATGATAACTGTGGTATTAAGACCACTGAATCCAAGCAGAAATATTAGATTATCCCAAAATGTTTAGCGCTCGCAGTATTATAGCCCACAATTTTGAAGAAACATTGTAAATTCAGAAGTTTTCTGTTCTTAGATTGTCTTAGTTTCGCTCTCCATTGATAATTATCCACGGCACTGTTGACATCAATCGCACATTCCAGTAAACCACCCGAAATCTGAACATCTTCTGAGGGCAACACTTTGAATGGATCTAGTAGCTTTCGCACTTTTCTGGATGAGTTTGGTAATCCAGGCAGACGAAATGAAGCATACCTGGAGCGACACGTTACAGTTTTTGGACAACTGCGATCAATCAAACTTCACGGGTGACGTCAGCAAGGCGCGTACTTGTCACTGCTTCTGGACTAAATGCCATAGGTGGATTTTACCAGCCAATCAGAAACCGTGCGGCCCTGACAGAAGCTGAACGACGCCAGAAATACTGAAACGTGATTGGTAGAAGCCCGGATAACTAATGAGCATGTTTTGTACATATTATTTAATCTTCCTTAATCCTTCCAATAAACGAACTTGTACTCTTGTGGGATACTGCGTGCTAGTGGAAGTGCAATCCAGTGCTTACGTGATCCGGTACGTGATTGCTTTTCACTGATTCGTATTCCGAGTTCAGTGCGTACTACTACAACCATTACAGTCAGACCGATTTTTGGTCCACGATTTGCTTCACTCTTGCCTTCATCGTGAGAGGCTAATACTGGTGGAAGAAAGAGAACTGGGATTTGACATAACGTTTCAAGGACAGCCATTTCATTATAATTTAAGTGATCATGTCTTCGACGAAAGGCGCTCATGAATAGACTCATATTGGGTCGAATGATCAATCAGAGGGCATTCATCCTCAGCTTCATTGTCGACTTATTCGCTTTGGCTAATTACTGCCTGCGGAGGATCAGACAGAAATCCAAGCTTTTTTCACCAGGTATATTGCTATGAGGTCGCCCACTTCGGCTCTGATGTTTGATCATCCTCCGGCAAGAACGATACGAATTCCAGTAGATATTTCCCTAATTAACATTTTGTAGTTTGGATATCGCGGTGATCCATTAATTGCAATAGTGGTCTACTTTGGAAGCAGCAATTGCGAATTTACATTCCAGAATGACGATGCGCCCCTTTGCGAAGGAGCATAACCCATAAGCAGTAACTTGGTAGAGCGGACTTTACAACATCACATCATCATCATCGTACAGCGAGATACAGTGAAGTGAACTTCACTGATCGCTGCGAAGCTCTCAATGTACACAAATCAAGTGATAAACCACACGATGCAGAGGGATTGAGCCTACTTGGAGGGAGGCAAAGGAAAAGAACCTCTATGTTCAACACACAGAGCACACAATCAAAGTGTTCATGCATACCTTTTTTCAAGCCTTCTGCCTTGTTAAGAAATGACAACAAGAGCGCCACTGCTGTCGGTTAGTCGCCATGTCCTTTAATGTCTCCAGCCAACCAGTTGTAGAGTCTTTCGGACCCCAACCGGGAAGACGGGAGACACCAATTCTGCCTAATCGCTCTGTGCATTTCTTCATGCCTCGCTTCCACGTCATCTGTTGACAACCACGCGGTTTCTTCCAACCTGGAGCCGTAACTGCGAATAAGGCGCGGTGCGGCAGACGATGGCTGGGCATGCGCAATACGTGTGCTAACCAGCGACGCCGACTAATCTGAATTCGATGAGACCACGAATTCTCCATCGAATCATTACCAAATACGCGACGCCTCACCTCAGAGTTGCTTACAAGCTCGCTCTATTCAACCCGAGCCAAACTACGTAAACATCTGCGGTCGAATACTTCAAGACGACGAATATCTTCCACGTGCAAATTTAGGGTCTCGCAACCATAGAGCAGAACTGGCCGCACATTGGCGCAGTATACACGACCTTTCAGTTTCAACGAAACATCATGTGTACACCAAAG